AGTTATCTCTCGGTCTTCAGCTGGCAGCAATTTCAGGACCATTTACTCTGGGTGCCCGTGAAACACTGTTAAACAAAGGAATCTGAATTGGCCGGCTTTCCTGAGCACTTCACTGGGAAGAAAGATTTTGTGCTGTGTGTGGCGGTGACCTACGCTTCCTCTTCCATATACCTTGCTTTACTAATACCATGTTGGAATTATTTCCTTAATTTCTAAGGCTGCATGTGCGGAAATGGCTTATATTTCCTGTTTTGATAAAATAATAGAATTTTACTGGGACCTTGTTCCCAAGTCAGCTTTCGTTGGCTTTCGTCTTTGTTGACCTCATTTGGGATTAAAAGAATAATTCTAAAGAGCCTGGCCTGGCTGGACTTGTGACAAAGACTTGTTTAAATTTTTCCCTTAAAATGTGAAATTCTTTTTAACAATAAGAAATACTTGTCTTTTATGTCACTTAGAATTAGTTATTCAATCTTCCTTTGCAGAGGAAGTTGGAGAGGTGCTGGGGGCAGACCCATGGTAAAATATCTGTAAATTCTCTTCAGAGAATTGCTGCTTTTGGCTGGAGGTATACTGGCTTAAAAAGACTTCTTTCTACACAATGTTACTTGGAACATGTGGAGGACAAAATATTCTTTGTTTTAGGACAGATGAGTTTTGTTCTTGCATCTTTGTATAAATTTGGTTAATACTCATTGTGTGTGTGCAAGTCAAAAACAACCACCAGCATTTTTTTTTTTCATTTATGTATTGTCTCAACTTTCAACCTTACTCATAAAGCTGGGTACATTTCAGTAGATTTGTTCTTTCAATGTATATGGGTGACTGGTAGAGAAATAACTAGTCTTAAGAAGTCTAAATCTTTTATGCTTTTTATTTACTGGCATTCAAATTGTTATTTGAACCTATTTTTGAATGTCCTGAATATAAGTAGAAATCTGCCATTGGGAGAAGTGATGTGGAGCCGTTTCCAAATCGTGCTGAAATGGGGCCGTTCCTCAGATGGTGCAGAGATGGGAGCAGGGAGGCCTCTGCCTCTCCACCTGCTGCCTGGGATCCCCGAGGGAGGCCAAGAGATACTCTCTTATCCTCCCTGTCCTTGGTTGCCCATGGAGCAGGCAGGGCCAGCAGCCTGTGGGACCGGATGTCCTCTTAATCCTGCAGCTGCCACCGCTGATCTCTGCTCAGACTCCACTGAACCCCTCCATGAACGGCAGAGCCAAGTCCCTGCTGGCAGCTGGAAAGTCATTGGCTCAAGGCAAGAAACTCCCTGTGTGCACCTGCTGGGAATCTGATCTGGGAAGCAAGAGCCTGGTTTTCCTTAGAGGGTTCTGGGACTTCTGTTCTCCCAGAGGTGAAAGATTCGCCACAGAATTTAGATCACGCATCTAGTGATTTGAATATGCCCGGGCTAATAGATGGATTCTCAAATCTTTCTAAGTATAATGATGCCAAGATTCAGGTAGGACTCCAAGGAATATTATTACTACAAAAAGAGTCAATCAAGAAATTCCTTGCTCAAAGCTTTCCACTTTGCACCTGGAAAAAATGTCTCTTCCATTCCAGTTGAGTAGAGTATAATCTATGGTTTCCAGAAAATATGTCTTATGACTTTGGATTGCCAACTGGCATCCAATGGGAATGAAGACCAAAAATCAGAGATGAATGGGGGATTTAATTGATGTTTCTTTTCTTAACATGTAATTTTTGTAGAAAGAGAAAAGTACAATGCTCAGTGAGGTCCATGGAGGCTCTGTAAAGAACCCCAGAGCAAGCTGGCCACACAGGAGAGCAGGCCTCACGTAGGCCCTGCGGGGGCAGACACAGACCTGGATGGGTTTCCTCAGGGGTGTGGGCAGGGGCTTGAGGAGGACCCAGGGTGGGGGAGGCAGTTATTTTATTAAGCGGTTGACTAGAGCTGGATTGTGGTTTTGAGTTGTGTCTAGTGGCAAAACCAAGGCACAGCTCTGGGGCTGGGAGCATAGGAGGTGGTATGAGCACTTGAGGTCTCTTGTTGGGGGGGGCCTGGCCATAGACATGGGGCGCTGCACAGCAGCCACCACACTGCTCTTCCCATGTCCCCAGGAAGGCGCTCGTATCTTGTCATGGGAATGCCAGCGCTCAAGTGAGAGGCCGTCTGCAGCACACACCCCACCCTGAGCAGTAAAATATTTATGTCTATCCCAGAGACCTGACATTCCAGTGTGAGGTACTTAGAGCTCTTATGGATGTTGGAATTCATAAGAGTCCCTCTGGAGGACAACTGGGACGCTGAGGGAACACACAGGTGCACTCACGCACACACGTGCATGGGACGTCCGTGCTGGGAACTGGCTAGGCTTGGAAAGTGGGTGGGCTGCCTCGTAGTGGACTGTCCTTCCCCTTGTGAACCAGGGCATCTGAATTGTTGGCACAGGGTTAAAAGATATTCAGGCTGGAAGAAGTTAGCCTACAAGTCCTCCAAAAGCATGAAAGCACCATTCAATTTTGAGCAGGTTATGAAGAATCCTTTTCTATAACTAAATCTAGTATTGTCAACCTACAACAGGGAGTCTTTTAGATCAATTTGAAACCATTAAAATCATTTCAAACATTGATTTATATACAAGATTTGGCAAGTAGCTCTAAACTCCAAATTAAAATTAGCACATGAAACACCAGGTGGAGACTATGAGTTTGTACTTTGCCCTTGGGACTAAAGAGGCCCCTGCCCTTCCCAGGCAAGTGGAGAATGAATTACTGGGTGAACTGCGGACGTGTGCCCAGGTGCCCGCTGGTGTTCTGCTCATACTCGAGACAATGTGTGAGTGCGGCAGCCCGTGGCTCATGCCTTTGTGCTGAACCTGCGACTTAGTGGAGCTGGATTTCTAGAAAATTCACATATTCAAAATTGTGGCACTTGTGAGCCCTATTCTGGATGAACACTGAAGTGGGTAAACACTGTTTTGAGGGCACGAGCAGATATTTTATGTTTCCTTTTACGCTGTGGAACTCAAGCTGTGTCATTACCTCACTCGAGACCAAAAGACAACCCAGGACGGATGTAGATTCTTTCAGAGCCATGGTTTCCTTAAAGAGTTCAAGACTTTCAGACTTTGGGGAATTCTTTAAAGTAGTGACTTAAGGCATTAGATGTTGGATCAGGCAAAGAATTACAATGAGAACACAAGAAACTGTGGAACTCTCTAGTGAGACTGCTCTAGTAGAAATTTCTAGCTAAGGGAAGGAATTTCTCATCTGTGGGAAGGGAGCATGGTGCGGCTGCTGAGGGCTCGGGTCCACTGGCCGGGCGCTGTGAGCCAGAGTGTGTGCCCTGCCTCCATCAGAGCTGGCTACGCAGGACCACCTGCCCATGCTGGGAACAGGGAAGACCCTGGGGGACGTGCTAGCACAAAAAAGTGACAGAGGGAGTCCCTAGGTGATCATCCTATTAAGGCTGGGATAGAAGCCATCTGTTTCCAGCTGGAAAGGTTCTGTCATTTGGTTGAGTTTTACTTGCACCATAAGATTCGCCTCACTGAGCACCAGAAGCCAAGCTGCCCAGGGTCCCCTATAATTGTAACTGCCTGTGGGAGGCCTGGCAGGACTCCAGGCAGGTGGGCAGAGACTGGCTGAGGGTAAAAGGCCAGACTATGATTCACCTGTGAGCTACCACACTCACTTACCTGTAGGGGACGGCCTGCAGGGGCTCACCTGTGGGGGACGGCCTGCAGGGGCTCACCTGGGGGGGGCAGGGCTGCAGGGGCTCACTTGAAGGGGGGCAGGGCTGCAGGGGCTCACCTATGGGGACAGGGCTGAGGGGCTCACTTGAAGGGGGGCAGGGCTGCAGGGGCTCACCTGAGGGGATAGAGGTACAGGGGCTCACTTGGTGGGGGCAGGGCTGCAGGGGCTTACCTGGGGGGGCAGGGCTACAGGGGCTCACCTGGGGGGGCAGGGCTACAGGAGCTCACCTGGGGGGGAGACCAGGGCTGATGCTTGGCTGATCAGAATGAGGAGTAAAGAAGAACTATCTGATTGTCATTTTTGTCTCAAAATGTTTGGTACCTCAGTCTGAGAGAAAGAGCTAAGGAACTGCCCTAGGTAGTCCAACCTCCAAGTCCAACTCTCATCTGAAGTATGGAGATCAAGGGCCAGAAACTCCATTTTGCCTCCCTGGGACTGTCCATCCAGGGAACTTGCTCAGTTCTCCACTAAACTTGTTCAAGAGTTGTATTCTCCTCTCTGATGACCAGTTCAATTGTGCCTCACCACCCGCATGCCCTCCATCCCCTCCTGAGCAAATACCAGGGAAGCCTGTGGCCCCAGATCCCTCCTCCTCCCATGCGATGAGCCTGTCTTGGGCGGGGAGGGGCTTTCCTTGTAGGTGCTCAGAGTCCAGTGGCAGGTGATGCCCATGCTGGGGTCAGCAGTGGTATCAGAGGCCACCTCTTCCCACAAAGCCCCTTTGATCACCATGATGGGTGTTGTTGCAGAGGCACGGTGGCCCCGCCATGTGTGGCAGAGCCACACTGTGTGCCAGCCCCCCACCCCCGCCCCGTTCCCGTGCCCCAGGCTGCGGTTGGCACCCAGCTCCTCCGTGCTGCTTCCTTGGAGATGCACCTTCACTTTCGTCGCTCACGCAGAGTCAGGGAATGATCTCTGGGACTTGGTGTGTACTTTAAGAAGTCTCCCTGACCGGAGAATGTGCAGCACCCAGAGCAAACCCTCACGTGAGCTCTGGATGCCGGGTGACAACAATGGGTCACTGCAGCTGCATTAACCTTCACGAGTTTGCTGTGGTGCCGGAAGTTGATGGCAGGGAGGCAGTGGGGTGGCAGCAGACGGGCGAGATGGGAACTCCTAGTACCTTCCACTCTATTTTGCTGGGGACCTAAAACTGCTCTAAAAATTAAGGTCTGTTTTTAAAAAGGGCGTATTGAATGTCTCTCAACAGGCCATGTTACAATGCACGTTGGTGACACTGTTTTTGGTAATTTTTGCTTTGTGTTTTATTGTTGCAGGGTGTGAAGAAGTTTGATGTGCCCTGTGGAGGGAGAGACTGCAGTGGGGGCTGCCAATGCTATCCTGAGAAAGGCGGGCGGGTAAGTCATAGCACTTCAATAAACACGATCTTCCTTACAGGGTCATGTCTCACTTAGCACGGCAGGGATGGGGGGGCACAGTCTGAGACGCGCATCGCATCGCTAGGTGAGCCTGCCGTTGTGCAAACACCATAGAGTGCGTTTGCACAGCCCTGGGGCATCTAGCCTGCTGCACCCCTGGGTGGTGTGGTGTGGCCTGTGAGTACTGCAGACAGTTGTGACATGGTGGGGAGTATATGTGTGTCTAAACTCAGAAAAGTCACAGTAAAAATATATGAGCACTGAGCTGCACACTTAGGCTACACTCGGTTCATTAAAAATAGCTCTCATTCTGCAGTAGTAAATCTGCTTACTAAACTTTTTTATTTTGTTAACTTTTTACTTTAACTTTTTGATTCTAATAACTCTTAGGTTTAAAACACAAACACATTGTATAGCCGTACACAAATATTTTTTCTTTATATCCTAATTCTGTAAGCTTTTTACTATTTTTTGATTTATTATTCTTTTTTACATTAAAATATTTTTTGTTGTTAAAAACAAAGCTGCAACTAGAGACAGTAGCCCAGGCCCAGGTGGGGTCAGGGTCTTCCACTCCCTCATCTGTCTGGTCCCACCAGAAGGCCCCCTCAAGTGATGACAGGCACAGAGCTGCCATCACCTGTGATAACAGTGCCTTCTTCTGGAAACCTCCTGAAGCACCTGCCTGAGGCTAGTTTGCCTTTACCTTTTTTTTTTAAACAAATTTGGGGAGGAAGAGTACATTCTAAAATAATGATTAAGAATTCTAGTGTAGTAAACACATAAACCAGCAGCTAAGTTGCCTGTGCAGAAGGCATCAACACCAGCACCACAGCACACACGAGAATTATGTCACACTGTCGCATCATGGTGGCTGTGTCACAAGATGATAGGACTTTGCCAGCTCCATTATAATCTTAGGGGGTTACCATCTTAGACGTAGGCTGTTGTTGACCAATGAGTCTTTTTATGGTGTGACTACACTTCCATTTGAAATGACTGTTTCTTAAATTGCCTGATCAAGTCAGTTGCATACTTTGCTAAGAAATCTAATACAGTTATATTCTCTTCCAGCAGAACAAATAATATCATGCAAAATTGGCTTAATTGGTATCATCTTCCTAATACATGGAAAACAGTAGAGCTAATTTTCATCCGCATGTTTTTCTCTTGTTCATTGTTGCAAATACATTATCTATGCATGTATGTATAAATGTGTATATAAAGTGCAACTATGTTTCATGCTTGTACATAAACATAAGTTTCATAAAAATGTCATATGAAGAAAGACCTAGTTGCATTTATACTGTGGTACAGGTATGCCAGCTAGACAACAGGGGCATTATGCCATGGATAAAATTCTAACTTTTAAAATGAGTGTCCTTTATGTAGCCATGGGTACGAGAAAAAGGGGCCACCTCAAATTGTCACTATTACACTTGCCAGAATTTGAAACATTGACCTGATATGGGCGGCACCTGTGGCTCAGTGGGTCGGGTGCCAGCCCCATATACCAAGGGTGGCAGGTTCAAACCTGGCCCCGGCCAAACTATATAAAAAAAAAAATAATAGCCGGCCATTGTGATGGGCACCTGTAGTCCCAGCTACTTGGGAGGCTGAGGCAAGAGAATCGCCTAAGCCCAAGAGTTGGAGGTTGCTATGAGCTGTGTGACACCACGGCACTCTATTGAGGGCGAGAGAGTGAGACTCTGTCTCTACAAAAAGAAAAACATATTGACCTGATATTGGGTTTACTGTGTTAACTGGACTGATTGGTATCTTTTTCTGCTGCCTCTAAAACTGATATTTAAGTCTCAACATCCCTTATTTTAACAATGTGTCATTTATGCTTATGTGGCCAGGCTCCTCCCATGTGGGGTGTGTTTCCCTTTATGACAGTTTCCTGCTGCTTTGTGCCTGGGACTCACGTAGCCCTTGGCTCAGGCTGGTCTGTGCCTTCATTTGGCAAAAGCCAGTTTGTGCAGGCAATTGGGAATTCGTGTCTGCGTTGCCTTGTTGAAATCAAAAACTATGCCCATCCTTGGGTGTCCCAGATGAGCTTCCCCAAGTTGAATCCTTAGTCATTTTTTAAAGTAGTCCTTCCTCATTCCTGCTTAGTAGAACAAACCCCTGGCTGAGCTTGGCCTCCGAGGCTGAGATGCTAAGCCATTGCCTATATCCCTACACAAAATCAAATAGGTAAAATTTATGACCGCACACACCTGTATAAATCTGGTGGTCTCATCTGCTAAGTGTGACCTGTCCTTGCTTCATTGTTAGAGATCACAGTAGAGGAGTGTCCTGCCCCTGGACCGGGCGTCCAGCCCACAGGCTGTGTTCCCTGTGAGCTGCAGGTCCCCAGTTACCTGCTTTGATAGCGGTCCTCTGCCTGCAGTGGACTTCATGCTTTAGGAATTGCTAGTTGAAGACCATTTCACAAGGACAATATTTTTAAGTGTTTGGAGGCTGTTTGATGAGATTTCAATGTTCCCTGGGTTCCTTGCTATAGATTTTCACAGCAGTGCTTCTGCTGCAGCAGTGATGGAAACGGCTGGCTGCACACGCCCCACTCCCCAGGCCCGGGCTGGCTCAGCCTTACATGGTCATGGAGCAGATAAACTAGGAGTGTACAAATATCTCGCAAACAGCCTGTGTCAGATGGAGCTGACTCTCGAGGTTCTCGACATTCTTCTCCAAGTAATCAGCCAAATAGAACCCAAACAAACTGTGCAGGTGGTTGCTGGGTCTGCTCCTTTTCACTTTCTAGAGTCACTTAATGCAGGACTCATGGATTAAAATTCTCCAGAATGCCTTCAGAATTTTGTTCTTCAGTAAAAATAGCTAATCCTGGTTATTCTGATACGTAACGCTTCCCCTTGGCACTGTGCTGACTTTTATGCCAAGGATCTTTTTAGAGGTTATTAGGAAGGACATGTTGTAAGGGTCCTGAGGTCTCTGTAATTTATTAGGGCTCAAGACCTTTTTATTTCCCTGTGTCCCTAATGATGGAAACACCTTGTGTCTGTTTCTGTACTTTGCCAAGTCAAGTTAAAAACCTTCACTTTCTGGTTAATTTGATGAACCTGAATAGCCCAAATCCCAGTGTGGGCTTGGCTTCTGTCTCATTATTTAGACAGGTTATCAACACTTCTTAAAGGTCCACGTGGGAAATGTCTGTTTCAATAGCACAAACCTGCTGTACTGTGGCCTAAATTATTTACTAATTAACAACTTTCCACAAAAGTGTTTCTGCAGAAAGCAGGGCTGCTTTGCCCTACTTTGGGGCTGATTGTATTTTTTCAAGGTAATGTAATACATAAAAATAGCAGTCGGGTGGCCTGTGCTGTCCGGAGGGCTGCGTGTGGGCTGTCCTTTCCCACAGTTCCCTGGGGCGCCTGGCCCAGCATGTTCCCTCCCTTGGTGCGACTGTCACAGCAGTGCACATGCCTGAGCCCTGGGCTAAGTCAGCCTTATAAGGACACAGCACCCTGGCCGCTTTGTTCCTCACCATGGAGACAGCTACTTCAGAAACTGTATGTTACTGGATAACTTTCAGACTTGAAGCAGAAATCATGAGCACGCTGTGAGTTCCAGCTCCAAATGACTTCTCATGTTACCAGTCGGAGGGGCCTTGTGTAGAGTCTGTGGGCCTGATTCTTGCCCGTAGGTGGTGAGATTCTTGCCCTTGGGTTTCTGTAGCAGGGAAAGAGAGCAGCTTCAGAGTAGACAGTCTCAGCTAGTCGCAGAGTGGGGCAGGAAGGTGAGACCTGTGGCCTGTTGGGGCCTCCCTCCCGGGGCAGGGCTGGGGACCTGATTAGGGTCTAGTTCAGGGAGAATGGCACAGGAGGGAACGAGCCTGTGCCAGCCCCACACCAGACTGTGGTGGAGGCCAGGACAAAACCCAGCACCCAAGTCTGGGGATCTTCAGATGAGCTCCCTTCCCAGGGCGGTAATCTTTCCCGCCTGCATTTGTCTTACATCAGCCCAGAAGAGCGAGATGGTGGGCAGGGAAGCCACCCAGGCAGGGCTGAAGAGTTCACTCCCTTTATTGGTGAGTTGTTGTCCCTGGCTGATCTTCTAACCAGCTCTTCAGTTGTTTAAGGAATGGGAAAACACTTAACTTTAAGCAATGATTTAAGACTTTGTTGTTGGTTGAGGGCCTGTATTTCGAATAATCTCTATTAAGTGTCTTGGAATCATTACAAGTTCTAATCCCCCAATACTGCACAGTGTCACACGCACAGAACATCACCAAACCGCCTCCTCAGACTTCCCCTCCGCTGATACCACGCGACCCTCAGTGCGGAGGGAGCCGCCCACCCCTCACATCTTTCTCTTTCTCTATACACCGTGGAGATGGAGGGCTGTCGAGTGGGAAGCGTGGGGTGAGCTTTTGTTCCAGGACTTGCATAACGCAGAGCAGTGACCACACGGGTGTCAAGCTGAACAGTACAGGGAGCAGCAGAGAGAGCAGGTGGGGGTCAGACTCCACAAAGCAAGGTTGTGAAAGGCTCAGATTCTTCTAAGTGAGGTCATTTAGGTCCTTATTTCAGTTATGTACCAGGTTCCTGCTCGGCACAAACGTCTTATCAGAAAGGTTGTTTCCAATTTTTAATGACATCAGCCTTCACAAGGCACCTTTTTTCCCTAAAGCAATTAATACAAAGACAGGCCGTGCGAGTCCCCAGGGCTGGGGTCAGTGAGGTGGACCTTGTCCAAGCACAGGTGAGGGGGCATGTTCTCAGCCCCTGTGCGAGTGAACCACAGTGGCCTGCATCACTCAGGGCTGGTCCAGACTGTCCTAGAGCCCCTCCCATGGTCCCAACACTGGAGCCGAAAACAGGAGACGAAACTTCCGGGAGGTTGCAGTTGACAAGCCTGCTCTCCAGTGATGGCTGAGTGCTCGGGACAGCATGCTGTGCTCAGCTGTTGCATTCTTTTCTTGTAGCTAAGAGTTTCCCACAGTCTGTGGGTCCCTG